TTTTTTTTTTTTTGAATATAGGTTATGTTCTTATCTATTGTTTGGTTGAACATTACCAAGGACCAATAGAATTCTCATATAAATAGACCCCTGAAATYTAGTTACTGGTTTATTTTATGAAGGACTATAAGGGCAAACTGTTAAGATAATGCCTCACAGGAAATAATTTTAAGATAATAGGTAAGTTTGAATTCCGGAAAACAAAACAAAAAAATCCTAATCTATAACTCAATGTAAACAGCTGTAATGATTGATAAGTAAGTGGAAATTCTTATCAGGAAACATTTTCTGTATAGTTCATATGGAAAGGTATATTGCAATTCCTTACTAGGTCACAAGAGGGCCAACTTTGAAAGCAGCCCTAACTTTTTCAGGGATGATAGAGGGTCAGAATCTAGTTATCATTATCTCAAATAAAGAATACATCAAAAAGGAAATCAGGATTAAAAATGGCAATTTTAACTCCTCCGCTCTTTTTTGTAGAAGTGTTTGTTGTTCCTATCCCTCTCCTGCATATACTCAAATATTGAGGGATGTAAGTTTCTCGTAAAAACAGTAATTTGGTCACATTGTTGCACCTTGAAACCTAAGAAATGCATTTTATTCAATGGTGAGCAACTTTATATTTCACACCGAAAATKACCTTTATATTAACAAATATTTACAGTGAAAACAATGTTTGCTTTTATTAATGACTTCCTCTATTTCCTTTTTTTACAACACTTATTTGTTTGTTTCTTTTTCTCTCCTCATATATACAATTTTGTTTAAGATTCCATGTAGGATGAATGAAGAATACAGAACACACTCACCACTACCTTCTCTTGATTGCTAAGTCTGTGTCATTCCCATGCTTTTTATTGCACAAAGTTCATATCTCATATAACCTTGTTTTAAAGGTTGCATAGCTCAGTAATCACTCTTACTTACTATTTGCCAACATGCAGGCCTAAGTGAAACTAATTAGGCTTTGTGGTAGCTGCCTTTGATTTCAAGAGCTAATTTCATCCACCTAAAAGAGAGAAAAGGTAAAAAAACCACCAAGGCAATATTTTGATATGCTGTCTTCTTCTTTTTTTTTTTTTTTTTTTTTTTTTTNTTTTTTTTTTTTTTTTTTTTCTTTTTCTTTTATTTTTTCTTTTTCTTCCCCTGGTAATTTTTTATCCCTTTGAGATTACATTTCTTCAAATTTAATAACCCCCTTCCTTCAGTCTAGCTCTGTGTGAAGGCAACAGGAATAAGCACTGCACAAAACAGAAATGAGTTAGCATGCCTAGATTTTCTCACATGTTTAAATATTGCAGCAGCTGGGACCCAGCATGCACTAAATACACCATGCAAAGAAAATTGCACTTTGTTTTTTGATAGTATTAGTTAATTTTTCTAAACATTTCAGAGTTCTGCTTCCATTTTTACTGTTCTAACTCGTATTTTAGAATTCCTCAATCCTGTAGTTTCTTGCATTTCAGTATTTTTTCAGCATATACGTGCACTTCAGTATTTTTTTTTCTTATATTAGTATTAAGGGCCATTAGAAAGTGGCCCACATGCATTAACTGCAGAGTCTCATGGCAGTGATTTTACTGACTGCAGCAGGAGTTCTGACCAAGGAGCAACTCTGGGCAAAACAAGTCTAGATAATTGCAGTGTTTGACTTGCTGTTTGCTCCTATGGCTGAATCGAACATCTTCCTCAGCATATCCACTGCACAGTAGTGAAAAAAGAGGCACTTTGCCTTGCTGCTGGCTCAGTCCCAGCATGAGCAAAGATCAGTGCATTGTTGTAGCACTAAATCTACCAGCTTGCTGCTGCTTCTGTCGATGCCAGCTGTGCCACAGCACACAGACATGGGGGACACAAGCTCCAAGTCAGCTCCCGAAGTGCTGCCCTTCTGTGTTGTGGCATTTCTCTCTGCAAATGGTTGCTTTTTTGATGCACGACATCCTCCATGCCTGAGGTTGAAGCTACAAGGTGAATTACAGGGAGGTGGAAAACGTAATATTGTTTGAAGAGCAGACAATGAATAGGGTTGAGCTCTTATTTTTTTCTGTGTTAGTTTCAAACAATTTTACATGGCCCTCTATTACTGTGCCTAATTTAGGAAAAGTGTCTATTCTGTGATATATATATATATATATTTATATTCTGAATTAATTACAAGTTGTAATTGGAAATTACCAGTTGTATTGTTGCACATGAAAACTTTGGCTTGATTTTCAGCATGGCTTGGTTAACCTAGAAAGATTTTATTTTTTGGTAGCCTATGAGCACAGATTTTACTTGAAAAAAAAAAGGCTTTAGGCTTTCGTTTTGCAGCTGTGTCTAATTTTCACATGGGACTAGAAGCATAATATTAAATTCAATAGGGCTACTCCCAGGATGAGGGATTACCTGCACTTTATGACTGTGAAGAATCACTAACTAATGTCCTATAAACATAGATACACTTAATGGTGTTTTCATGTATAATCTCATAGTTCTTCAGCTATATACTTGATAAAAGTCCTGGGTCAGGCAGTAACTTAAACTGTCATTTACGAGTATTATACAGCTGTTCATATTTGTGAAATTGTAGAGAATGAGAATTTGAGAGAGTGAATTAATAAAGTTAAATCATTAAGAGTGTATCTTGAATAAGGAATAAAACTGTCATAATTCAGATTTTTTTTCAGACTGAATGATACCTAATGTATTTGAATATCATAAACAGTGAACTTTTAAATGTTACTATCACAGATTTCATACTACTTGATACATTTGTATGTTGAGCATTGCAATAAATGTTTCTATTTTATTAGATTTGTCTCTAGTTTTTTTTTTTTCCTTTTTTTATTTATTTTTTTTTTTAATAAAGTTCATACCAATAGTAGGAAGATCTGCATTCACCATGCAGTCGTAGTCCTGGATGGAGCCCTTAGGGAGCACAGGGGCTGCTTGGTGGAGCTGACAACCTCATGCAGGCCAAAAGGTGCTGATTCTCYTGGGGCTCAAGAGCATTTACGACCTTCTTGAGTGGCTTGGCTTGTGCTGGGAGAAAACTGTTAAAATACACAAAAGATAAAACCATCCATAAATGGTGAGGACAAAACCATTACCTCCTGCTAGGGTAAATAGCCAAAGCTAGTCAGTTTAGGGATGGAGTTGGAAGAGGTGGCTTCTCTCCAGACTCATGTTTGGGGTGCAGAATAAACTTGCACGGAAACGAAGGCTTTCACAGTAATGGCTTGGGGAGGGGGTATGCTTAGTGTGTGTTTATTTATTCRTTTTCCTCTACGCTACTTCCACGCAGGTGGACATTTCTCACCCTGCGTCAGTGCAGGGCAGCAGAAGCTCGGTGGGGCTGGGGACCTTTCCACCGAGGCCACCGCTTGTGTCTGGCGCGGGTGGCTGTGCTGGGTGGCTCTCGCTCCAGCTCTGGCGGGGGGTGGACGCTGCATTTGAGCAAACCAAGGAGACAGCGCTCATTGCTCTCCCCAGTGCGCTCTGCTCTGTTATGCCTTGGAAAAGGAGGCTGGTTGCTGCTGGATGGGTAAAGCAGCGAGAGGGAGGCAGCTGTTCTTGCATCCTGCAGCACAGCTGTACAAGCYGCCGTGGTTTCCCTGGGCTTCCCTTTCCTTGCAAGCAAGCCTGGCCCTCGCGCCGGTGCGCGTGGCTGGAGGAGCCGCCGAGCCGCGGGGCGGAACAGGCTCGAGCGCCTCGCCCCGCGCAGCCGGGAGCACCTGGATGCGATGGGAGCTCCCGCGCACGGGCAGCGCCCGCGGGAGCCCCGGGGATGCGCGCGGCG